CGCCGCGCTGCTGGTCGCAGGCTGCGCGCTCGGCCTGCGCCTGGGCCGCGGGCGGGGGGCAGCGGATCGCGGGGTTCTCGCCTGGCTCGGCTATGACGCCCTGGTGCACTTCGTTCTGGTAAGTGCTGTCGCCTCGGGCCCCGCAAACGCGAGAGGACAGCACCTCTCTAGGGACCCTTCCCTTCCTCGTCCCAGGGAATGCCCTGAAAAGGACAGGGACTATTTGGCTCCCCGTACCTGGGGCTGGAAGCCTGCGGAGCCGCGGGAAGTACCGGGGAGCAGCCGCGGGACTCCGTGGCCTTGGGCCAGATGCTGCACCTCCGAGTTCCCAAGTCTGTTAAATGAGAGCTCAGCTTCCTTAGTGGTTCCCGTATTTTTAAAGGCAAACAAAACGAAAACCTGAAAATAGTGATTTCTACCCTGTTATATTAGTTTGATTGTAAGCTACTCAAGGCCTTGGCTTACTAGACTTTGTAACTTGCACTAAATGTTAAACTGAAAATAATTGAGAGTTTTTCAGTACCCAGAGGGAGCAGGGAGACGGTAGGAGGCGCGCTGCGCTGAACTCCCCCGCCCCGCCCCCTTGCCTTAATAGTAATCCCATTTATTGGGTGAGGACTGTGTGTGTGCCAGGCACAGTACTGTGTATAAAATTCCTGATCTTTACAACACCCCATAAGCTAGTTATCATTGTCCCCATTTTACAGAGGAGAAATCAGGCCCAGCAAAGTTAGGTGACTTTGCAATGCCACACAGCTGGCATGATTCTGAATTTGTTTAGTCTGGCTCCAAAGCTCCTACTCTTTACATCACACCAGGCTTTACGAAATGTGCCCCTAAAAATTCAACTCACTTTATAAATGGCCAGGAGGGTTGTATTTAAGGGAAATATATTAAAATACCTCCTCCTCCATGCACACACTTTTTCTTAAAGTTGTTTTAATTATGCCAAAATATCTTTTTTTGCAAACTTTACCTTGCTTAAATCTAGGCAAGCCTATGGCTAATGTGAAGCCAAAGTCTGTGGCAGCAATTTTCAACCGGTGTCCTGCAAGAATTTTTAGAACATGCAACACCTGACTATTTAGTCAGGGGTACTGACCTCTTGCCCCTTAGATTGTCAATAAAAAAAAATGAACAGCCCTGGCCAGTTTGGCTCAGCAGCTAGAGCATCTGCCTGCAGACTGAATGATCCCGGGTTTGATTTTGGCTAAGGGCACCTACCTGGCTGCAGGCTCAGTCCTCGGCCCCGGTTGGGAGGAAACCAATCAATGTGTCTCTCTCACATCCGTGTCTCTCTCTCTCTCTCTCTACTACTCTCTCTGCAAAGCAATGGAAAAAATAGCCTCAGGTGAGGATTAAAAAAAAAAGATTAAAAAAATAATAACAGCCAACACAACAGTAGCCATCTGGTGTAAATGTATCAAAATTATACTTATTTTTTGTCAGATGGGCCAAAAATATAATGTATTTTTTGGTGTGCCACAAATTTTAGTAATTATTTTATGTGTGCCATGAGATGAAAAAGATTGAAAATTGCTGGTCTATAGTATTGAGAAAGCAAAGTTTTCAATAATCACCTAGGTCTGTATGTTAGTTGGAAATGTGTATATACCACATGTTTCTGGAATGATGAAATTCCTTCTTTCCTAATACTCAACATGTGGAGCTAAGCAACAGTGAATATTTTCCTCAACTCCTTTATTTATAGAATTGATTTTTAAGTTGTCATCAGACACAAGTTCTTCCAAAAAACAGGTTGCTAGGCTCACTTAGAGAAGAATTTATTATAACATATTTTAGAGATACTAAAAGGTATTAAAATACTAAAACATGTACCCATATGTCCACCAACTAGTTTAAAATTAAGTCTACTTTTCAAGCACAGACTGTTACAGGTAACACCACACACATCTCCATTTGTAGAACCTTGAAGTGTAGCCCTGTGTGTGGAGTCATTGCCCTGGTTTTCCCCCTCCTTGTTCCAAAGGAAATGTCCCCTGCACAGCCCTACCTTGAGCCATTTACCTGTCCCAGCTACAAAATGTTCCACTTTGTGATGCCTTAGTTCTTTAATTTCAAAATGCACATTTTTTTTCACATATTAGAACAATCAATGACATAATCACTGTGGACCATTTTATTGATATCTTATGTCTCTGAAATTGGAAAGTATCTTACAGTTGAGGAAAACACGATAATTAATCAGCTTATATTAATAGGCATATTTTTATTTAGCTATTTACACATAATGCTTCAACCATCATCTTTGTACACCTATCCTAGAGATCACTGAGGAGGGCACTTGAATTAAGCAGTTGAGGCATGCAAGAAAAACGCAGGTCCATATTACTATTGATTGGGAGTTTATTGCCAGAAGACCCAGAAATGTGGCCCGAGCTAAGACTGGGATGTAAAACCTGGTGGAGAACTGAAACCACAACTCACTTGTTTGCTCTAGAACCTGGGCTGTCTCTCCGTACCCCTGTAAATTTTACTTCTCAAATGGTAGGAGATGTTGGGATTGTTAGCCGCCATCAAATGCAGAGCTCCCCCGTTGGACAGAATTCCAAGGCAATCATTCTCAGAGGTAGTTCAGCTCCCTGATGTCCAATCAGAATGTGGTTACCTCAGGCTGCAGCCCTGGTCTTCAGGTCCATTGGTTAGGCCTAGGGTGAAGGCAGGCCGATTTCCCACCAGTGCACTGGTAAGAGCCATGACAATATACATAAAGAAACCAATGGTGTGGTTCACCATTCCTCAAAGGTTGCTGTGGGCATTTCGTGCACTGGTACTTCATGGGTTTTTCCTCATCTGCAACCTAAGTAAAGCATTCTAGGCATGGCCAGAGCACGTAGGCGGATGTGTATTCCTGTGTTTGGGAAACATCTTGAAGTCCAGGTTGACAAGAGCACAGGGTTTACCTAGGGAATAAATTTGGGGGACAGGCTGATAAGCTAGGATGACAGGTAAGACTTTTAGTTTTGTTCTGTAGTAGGAAGCCGTTGACGAGTTTCAGCCAAGGAAGTAGCATGGCCAAAGCAGATCTTTCGAAAGATAATTTGGTGGCGGTGTGTTAAATCAGAAATTGTGAAGGGTCTGAGATTTTACCCTTGTTACAAGTTAACAAGTTAGCCTGGTTAATTCTCCGAGTCCCACAGGCCAATGCATCTGGCCAGGTGGTACTTGCACATACAGTGGGTGCATTATAGGGGAGGAACCCCAAAATTAGACTGCCATCTTATGTGGATGCTGGTGACCTGCTCATACTTCTCTGGAGAAAGACCTGTACTCAGGAATGTAAACAAATCTTCTCTGGGGAGGAGGAGGAGGCAAGGTCTTTACATCTATTACCATGGAATATCTTAGGAGGAGAGGTCTCTAAGCTTTACTACTCTGGAATGTCTCCTGATATAATGTCGCCTCAGTTGGTGTAAATGCCTATGCCCAGAGACCCCAGACAGTACAGGAATAGGAGATATTCATGGAGGATTCTCTCCCAACATGGTCCAGGGTGGATTGGAAAAGCTAGTTAAAGGGGGCAAAAAGATCAGCTAAAAGCAATTGCAGTATTTTAGGTATGAGATGAAAAAGAGCTATGCTAAGGTGTGGTGAAAGTGGGAGGAAAGCTAAGTATAAGAGACTTTCAAGGGGAGAATTGTATAAGTTAAAGTGACCGCTTATACACTGGGAGTGGAGATGATCTTGGATTTTAGAATCTGACCAATGTGAGCAATTTTATAATGTTAACAAAGACCAGAAACACTATCGGGCTTTCTTGTCATTAAAGTTATGCTGTTTCTAGAATTTCGTATAAATCATAAAGCGTGTAGTCTTTTATTTAGTATAATTTATTGAATAGTATCCTAATATATAGATGTATTCCAATTTATTTATCTATTTTCCAGTTAATGAATAATTGGGTTGTTTCTAGTTTTTGACTGTTATAAATCGTGCTGATATGAGTATCTGCTTACAAGTCTTTGTTGTGGACATAAATTTTTATTTATCCTGGGTAAGTGCCTAGGAGTCAGATTCTTTAACTAGAGTGGGAACTACCAAACTGTTTTCCAAAGTGGCTCTACCATTTTCCATTCCCACCAATGATACTTGAGGTTCCAGTTGTTCCACATCCTCACCAGCACTTACTTTCTCAGTCAGCTCAGGCTGCTATAACCATAGACTGGGTGGCTTAAAAAACAGACATTTAGGACTTCTGGGCAAGATGGCAGTATAGGTAAACACGGTACTCACAGCCTTCCACAACCACATCAAAATTACAACTAAACTAAAGAACAACCATCATTCAGAACCACCTGAAATCTGGCTGAAGACTTCTACAAGAAGTCTGTAAGAGAATTAAAGAAGAAACCACATGGAGACTGGTAGGAGGGGTGGAGACATGGAACAGACTGATCTCATACCCCACGTGTGGCAAATAAAAATTGGGAGATATCTCTGAGGAGCAAGGGGTACCAGCCCCATCCCAGGCCCCATCCAAGGATTCCAGTGCCAGGAAGAGAAGTCCCCATAACTTCTGACTGTAAAAACCAGCAGGGATTGAGGCTGAAGGAAATGGATGGCTGCTGGAGTCTCAGGCCTTCTTAAAGGGCCTGTGTACAGAGTTACTTGAACTCAGTCCCTCTGAGCTCCAGTGCTGGCCCCGCCCCACCCAACATTCAGGCCCATCCAAGCTATTTCCAGTGGCTTTTCCATATGAATGGCCTGTCTTGACTCATTTCAGATTTTCCTGAAATCTTTCAAACAAGCAGCATCTGGCCTCAGCATGCCCCATACCTCTTGCTAAGTAGTCCCAGGCCCAGCCCTAGCAGTAGCCAGCCTTGGCTCACAGCTCGGCCTCACCTGGGCACCTTCAAGCTCAGCACAAGTAGCAGCCATCTGCAGATTGCTTTGTAGCTCATGCCAGGTGGCCCTGGGCAGAACACAGGGGGAGGCTTACCTTGGCCTCACCTCCTGGGAGAACCTAGATCCAGCTCACCCAGTGGACAGCTTCAGACCACGTGGAAGCACCACCACCCAACCACCTCCACAAGCAATGCACCAAAGGGTGGACTCAGCAGGCACTAGAAGTCCACTGAAGTAAGTCCTTCTCTGTGG